TGACATAGTATCATTTGTTTGAGTAGCTAAATAGAGGGTTTTGGAAGGGATTCCATTAGATAATGAAAATGGGACAGGTATAAATCATATTCCTTAAACTCAGGTTCACAAGAAATATAACTTTGTTTCCTTTAAATTGCTCTTTTTATTTTCTCTCTTGAGTTCCCATTGTACCAGGATGGCAGACATTTAATCTCAGTCCATTGGGGGTCCCCTATTTTTCTTCTGAATGGGGACAGCTTGTGTGGGGTCACAGTGGAGGGGAGCACACATCTGGTCCTTGATGTCTTCACTCCAAACTGATACCCACTGAAGTATCCACTGACTGAATGATCCCAGACAAGTTATTTAACCTCTCTGCCTCGATTTTCTTATCTGCAAAATGGGTATAATGATAATACTTGCTTCAGTGGGTCATGATGAGGATCTAACGAGATCATCCGTGCAAAGTACATAGCTCACTCATCAATTCATTAATTCAACTAGCATTTTCCGAGGACCTACTATGTGCTACACACTAGTCTATATACTGGGGATCCAGTGATGGCCAAGACAGATGGGTTCCCTCTTCTTAAGCTGCCCTTGTTTTGGTGTTTAGAAATAGCAAGGACTTTCTACATGTTAGTTAATCTTCTAGCTTGCTGGCAGTTGTCCATTGGACCACTCAGGATGCCCCTGAGGTGTCCCACTCTCCCGTCAGCAAGGCCTTTTGGGTGTGGAGGTCTTTCTACCTCCTTCCCTGGTGTTCTTGGGTACAAAGGATGTTTCTGCTCCTTCTACCCCATTCTGGGGTCTAAGAAACGGTGAGGGCTGCCAAGCCTCCATCTGTTTGATGGGACAGGCAGCCCTTTCCTCTCTCTGGTTTCCTGATACCTCCCTGGGGCTTTTACCCAGGAAATAGCACTCAAGTTTCTTCTGCTTTTTAGAGTCCTCAGACCCCTCTGGGGTTTTTGCCATCACATGGGGCTCACTGAGGTCAGGGTGCGGTGTCCTCTGGGACCATTTACACGTTCATAACTTCCTTCCTCTTGCGATCTCTCACGCCACATCTTAGGGAATCTTGGTCTAGTGAGAAGTGGGGTGAGTGATGTCTGATTTGCATATGTTCAGTGAGTTTTGACAAATGTATACACCATCAATCCAACCAAGATGTATAATCTTTCCACCACCCTAGAAAGTCCTCTCATATCCCTTTTCTAGTTAATTCCTCACTGCTCTCCCCACCTGCAACCACTGCTCTGATTTTCCTCACCATAAATTAGTTTGCCTGCAGAGGAGTTGCTTTTAAACCATATTTTCTTCCCAATCTTTTTGTCTTTGACATATGTTCTTTTTTTCTTCCAAAGCCCTGGGCTTTTGAACTGTCAAAGCCAGGAAACCTACTTTTCTTCCCCTTTTCACTCTATTCCTGAAGCAATGAACTCCTTTGCTGCCTGGATGCACATTGAGGCTACAGGGTTGGGAAAAAGCCCCAGGAAAACTGAAAAAAAAAAAACCAGTTACGATTGCTAAAAATGTTACTTAAATGTTATAATGCTACGTGTTAAGATATCACAGTACTTGCTGTGTGCCAGCTGCTGTTCTGAGCACTTTAAGTGTATTAACCCATTTAATCCTCACAAAAACCCTACGAGGAGGTAGCTACTGTTATCCCATTTTACAGGTGAGGAAATTGAGGCACAGAGTGGTTCACAGATTGCAAGAGGAAAAGTAGCATGATTATTCCCACCACATATGCTACAGTGGGAGAAGGGTGTTGATCCTCTCTGGGAAGGGGAGGCAGTCCCAAGCCCCAAATGTGTGGGACAGTGTAGAGGTCAGGCCCTCATTCTGAAGGTCATGTAGAGGAGGAGATGGCTGATTGAAGGTTGTACTTGCAGAATTTTGTGGCCAAGGCTCACCGCTCCCCACGGGTGTACTGGCTGGGGCTGCATGACAAGGACAAAGAAGGGGACTGGAGGTGGCTGGATGGGTCGCCTGTCACGTTAAGGTAAGTGCCCAGAATTCCTGGGGTCTCTCTGCTTCCTCTGTGGGCCCTGAACATGGGAGAGGAGAAGGAGAGGGGGGTGTGTGGTTGAAGTCAGGAGCTGATTCTTACTGGTACAGCTGTATTGACTTTTTGTTTTTAATAAAAAATAGATATGGGGTCTTGCTATGTTGTCCAGGCTAGTCTCAAACTCCTGGCCTCAAATGATCCTCCTGCATCAGCCTCGTGGTTTGAAACATGGAAAAATTTCTCTCCTGGTTGGTAAATTGCCACTGTTCTTACACCCCTGAGGGACTCCCTGCTACCCGTTGGACCTCCACATCACCTCACAACTAAAGGGTTTGTGCCTGGCACAGAAGGGACCTATGGACCCTGATTGGCGTGTGGGGGCGCATGTGCAGCTTTGGTTGTTATGTTGATGTACCTCCCTGAGCATTCCCTCTTCCCTGTGTGCTTGTCGTCCTTGCAGTCCAAGCCGACAGGCTCTCTAGAATCCCAGGCTGGACTAGAAAGGGGCAGCAAAAGGGGCTTTTTTAGTGACAGGGCTTCTGGTTCATGTACCTTTAATTTTCCCTCCATTGGAATATCTCGACCTTCTAGTACAACTGCTCAAATATATCAAGTCTTCCAAGGCCAATGGTTGGGAGGAAAAAACATAAAAGGAGGCTGGGAGGGTGAGGAAAATTTGGATTTGCTAAAATTATGAGCAGGATTTCATTTTTTATTTTTTGAGATGAGGTCTCCCTTTGTC